AGATCATGGGATCCACACATAGACTTTGGGGCATCCACAACCCCCTGCCCGCCCCACAAACTGTATCAGACATGAGCATGTCTACAGGCTTTTGGGGGGAGGGCCATGAGTTAGGGGAGAGTGCTCTGACCGTGACCACTCAGGAGTCTACAGTGCACGGGTCTGTTTCTTGATAAACACCCCCCTTACAGACAGGCACGGACATTGGGAAGGGCTCTCATCTTACAGACACGGACGCTGCTCCCTTCCACAGCCTAAAGATCTTGAAATGCTGTGCAGAGCCATCACCAATGCCCAACTCGAATCCCAGCCACCCCTCCTCATTCAACCTAAAGTGGCCTAGAGCTTAGAATCCCTCTGCTCCCAACTCAGGCACTAAGCTTCCTTGAGGCCCCCCGTTCCCCAGCCCCTCCGCAGGGCCCTTCCTCTGCTTGGGGGCTGGGGCTCATGCTCTCTACCTACGCCTCGAGCTCCCCTAAGATCCTGGTACCTGAGAGATGGAACCGAAGTGTGCAGGAGGGAGGGTCAGACCCTCAAGATTAGCACCTCTGTCGGGAAGCTGAGAGCTGAGTAGTCATGTAGGTGTTAGTGGTCCTCAGTCCAGTCCGAACCGGGTGTGCCCTTGCAGCCGGCTCTGGCCTCAGCTGAGAAGAATCAAGAATCGTTCCTGCCTTGTCGTGGCTCACAGCCTTATTTCGGGCTGCAACAGGATCCAGGGACAGATGCTAAAAGCACCAGGCCCCAGGGAAGACAGGTGCCCCGGCAGCAGGCCCTTACAGACAGAAGGGCTTGCACACACACACACACACACACACACACACACATGCACACACCAAAGTCACCTGGAAATGCTGAGAGTCAGTTGCCAGTCACTTGAGCTTGCTAATTGTATCCTTAGTGCCTAGAACGGAGCCTGATAGGAATTCAATAGATATTTGTTGAATGAATGAATGGATGGATGGATCCTTGAATGAATGAATTCTCCCCTGGTATCTTTGCTTGACTTGTTCATTTCTTCTTTCCTTTTTTCTTTCCTGCCTTTCTTTCCTCCTTCTGCTCCCTCCCTCCCTTCTCTCCCTCCCTCCACCTTCTCACATTCTCTAAGTCTCTCTCTATGGAGTGCGGATAAATATGGCAGGGCTCTGTCCTCAAGGAGCTCAGCCAGGCCCAAGTCAGACCCGTAAACAAGCCTTTGCGCTGCATGATGGGAAGTGCTCTGGGAGTACCCAGGGGAGGGTGCCACCAGCTTGGCCTGGGGGTGGAGGGGTGGGGAAGGCACTTCCCGGAGGAGACATTTGATCTGGGCCTGGAAGGCCAGTGGGAGTTCAGTGGGCCGAGGGGCACGGGCATTGCAGGCGGAGGCCACACTGTGTATAACAGTGTCAGGGGTCCTCAAGCAGAGCCAGAACTTACCCCCAGCGTTGAGAGATGGGTAGGGTGGGGCTGAGAGATGAGGCGGACAGGTGGGCCAGATCACAGCAGGCTTTTCAAAAGGAAGATGTGCTTTATAAAGGGCTGTTGAAGAATTTGAAGCAGCGGAATGCCACGGTCAGATTGGCATTTTCCAAATATATCTCTGGCTGCCAGGTGGGCAGGGGGCCAGACTGGAGGCGGGAAGATTTTGCTGTGCTCAGGTGGGAGATGGGGAGGCTGCACAGGGGTAGGAATAGAGCCCACGGAGAGGAGAAGGACCTGAGGGGTATCTGGGGAATCATCAGGTCCTGCTAAGAGGCTGGATGTGGGGAGCGAGGGAAACACCACTCTGGCTTGAGTGACTCGGAAAGGTAAAAGGGGAACAGATTGGGGTGGGGACAGATGCTCAGCTCAGTTTGGGATAAACTTGATTTGAGGTGTCAGGAATGGGAATCACCAGGAGGAGACTGCACCCAGGAGGGGCTCCAGCTGAAGATAAAGATTGGGTCACTTGCAGGGAAGGGTGGGACCGGCAAGGACGTGCTGGGCCCCGGGGTGGCCAGCACCTGTACCCATGTGCTGGGACAGACTGTCCAAGGGTGCTATACATTTGTTTATTTCTGATAGAGACAGGGCACAAGTCGGGGAGGGGCAGAGAGAGAAGGAGACACAGAATCTGAAGCAGACTCCAGGCTCCGAGCTATCAGCACAGCCTGACGCGGGCTCAACCACAACCCGCGAGGAGGACTCGAGCCGGGGTCGGACGCTAACCGACGGAGGCCACACCAGGGTGTATTTCTGACACACTCATAGGAAGAAGCCTGGGCTCTGCTGTGGCCCGCAGGAGGTCCACGTTCTGCCCCTTAGGATCCTGCATCCAGCCTCTGCTGGGAGCTCCTAGAGAGGAAGGAGAGGGATGTTCCCAGGGCAGGCTCGGCCTCACCTGGGAGTGGGGCCACAATCCCCTTCTCTAGACAAAGGACACCCCCCTCAGGTGAGAAGCACTCCAGATAATCTGGGTCTTGAGCTCACTAGGGTTATCTGGACTCACATGGGATCTCTTGTAGGGGCTTCTCCTCCTGCATGGAGCCCCAACCTGCCATGAAGAAACAGCCCCGGAGCACTGGCCCCTGACCCAGCTTGGCCCTGCCTGCTTCAGTGACAGTGTCTTGTGGTGAGGGCCTGGGAAATACCACCCTGAAACATCACCTAGCCCAGCTCATTCTGCACACACAGGGAAGCTGGGGCTGGATAAGGAGTGGCCTTATTCAGGGTCACCCAGCTAGTAGACGACAGGATCAAGATTTCAACCCTGGGACTTCATCTATGGCCTGGAGTTTTTCCATTGTTCCCCATCTCTCTTCATGGCCGCTACTCCCCGAGCTCCCGTCCCACCTGTATCAAACATTCTCATCCACCCAGAGCCCCTTGGACTGTTCCATGGGGAGAAGGGAGGGGCTTTAGACACAGCCGAAAATGACACAGGAGGCAGAAGCATACAGGAAGCATTTATTGAGGGCCAGAGATGAATTCTACAGGAGGCAAGAGGCAGAACACAGGCAGTCTCTAGTGGGTTAGAGAGGATAGGGGCGGGGAGAAGGCAGTGACAGGGAGAGAACAGCCAGGAGAACTGCAGCTTCTCAAGGCTGCCTCCTGCTGGTTCTTTGGGGGAAATGCAGGCAGAAGTGGATTTGCTATGCTTTGGCATCAGCCAGGGGCCCAATAGTGTCTTTTCTCTGAAAGAGGCCCTTAGCCCCAGTCTCCCATGCTACAAGGAACCCTGAAACAGATGGGGACTTTGGTAAATGTGGTCACTCATCATTGACCAAGCAGGAGCACCCTTTTACCTTCCCACTGTCAGGGCCTATGTTCCCAATCCTTAGGCCCTAGGCACCCTCTGGGATCACTCCTTTATTCCAAAGCCCCCCTCCCAACTCTCTCCCACTGTGGCCCAGCTTTCCCTAGCCTCACTTAGGGGTTCCAGGTCTAACATCATCTGATGCGTGGGTAAGTCTACCTCTAACCCCAAATCACACTCGCTCCCTCACCTTTAGTCACATCCTGGTGTCCTTTCACCTGCATCTCTTTGATCCTCAGCCCATTCCAAGCCCCACCCCCCATGCTCCCCTGCTCTTAGTATCCTGAGGCTGAAACTATAGAATTCAACCACATTTCTCCCATGCCCTGTCCCTCCTGGGGATTGGAATGAGAACCACCAAGGTTTGAGGGTCAGGCCAGGGCCTGCAGCCAGGCTTCTCGAGGTCACCGGGCATCGGGCACTAGCTAGGCCAGAGTGTAGTGGGAAAGAGATGGGGCAAAGCGGTGCCCATCATCTCGGCAGGATATGCATACTGGGGCCTAAAACTGAAGCATGCGGTATTTCCTAAGGAGCCAGAAACACAGGCAGACTCTAGTCTAACCCTTCACTCACCCACCCGTTCTCATCTGCCCCCAAATTCTGCCTAGCCAATCCTCTGGCACCAATCTCCTTCCCTTCCTAACACCACGGAATGCATTTCAGGACTGGGAGAGCCCTCAGAGGTCATCTGAGCCAATCCCCTTCCTACTAGAATCTCCTCTATGCATCCTGGCTCCTGCTTGAATACCTCCTATAACAAGGAACTCTTGCCTCCCTCTTTCCAAGTGGGCAACCTCAAACTCGGGGCCATCAGGTAAAACCACAGGGTAGCGGATAGCTCTGTATCAACTCTTCTCTCCCCAGCTCAGATTTTAGCCCAGAACTTGCCATGGAAGGGCCCAGAGAAGACAGACGGGCTGGAGGCACCTGTAGGATGCCTGGACTCCCAAGTCCTGGGGCTGGGGATAGAAGTCATCCCCTTACAGCTCTCCTCTCTGGCAGCAGGGAGGATGCCCAGGCAGTCTGAGCTGAGGTGGGGAAAGCATGAGAGGGATCTGGGAGGAGGGATCTTCCCATCTCTTGTCTCCAGAGGAGCCCGGCCGGGCACCTTGAGCTGGCCTGGGAGACCTCTCTAAAGGTCACCATGGTAAAAATAGAGCTTGTCTGGGAAGGGATGGAAAACAGCTGCTCCTGCCTGGGACTTGGTTCCAGGGAGGCGGATGGTCAAGCCAGGGCCTGGACAGGGAACTTAGGCCTAGGATCTTCTGAACACACCCCTCGTTTGCCAGCTTCCAGAGAGCAGAGGCAGGAAGGGAGGGAGGAATAGGGAGCCCCGGACTGCATGCAGCAAGCCCAGGGGTCCACGTGCACAACACGCTACCTCTTCCAAGGCACGTGTGTGTCTGTGTGTGTGTGCTGATGGGAGGGGAGGGGGAATCTAGACCTGTGAAGATTGCCTTGGCCAAAGACCCACTAAACAGATGGGAAAGCCCAGGATGGGACAGAGCAAGGGTCTTGCCCAGGGTCACACAATGACTGATTCGAATAAGGGCCAGAACCCAAACTTGGATCACTACCCCAGCCCCAGGCCCAGAGCTCTACTCCCCTGACCCCCTGTCCAAAGAGGCCAGGCCTCCTGGGGATGTGGTGCCAGGAGCTACCAAGCCCCACAACTCTTCTTCTGGCTCAGCCCTCCCGGGGTGGGGATGGAGCGGGAGCGGGGGAGGCTTTAGGTGGTGCAGGAGGCCTCGGAGGGGAGGCTGCCACGCTTGAGCCTCAGGCTGCCGGTCCACCCGCGGGGACAGATGTTGTAGCCGAGGATGCCGGGCGACTTAGCGCCGGAGTCCTCGGAGTCGAGGGACACATCGGAGTCTGTGGGCGAGCGGCGGGACGGGAAGGGCCTGGGCGGCG